CTAAACTTAAAATAATGGGAAAAACCCTTAAGATAACATTTAGAAAGAAAGAAAAAACGCATCTTAAGCACGCAGAATAACATAAGTGGACTTTAAACGATTAATTGCCGCTTTGAACGATTACGTAATTGTGGCATCCATAATTGTAATCGCTATTAGAAATTCGATTAATTGTGCAGCCCTAAGAGATACTAAAAAAATTCACTGTTGTGTAGTAGTGTAATTGTGAAGTGAGTTACGATGTTTGGGTTTGTGATCGTTCTCTGTGTGTGTCTCAGCTTTCTGATGGGGGCGTCCTGTGGTGGCGGTAACATGAAGGTGGATGATGCTGTATATGAATCTCTGGGGCTCCGCCCCCGACACGCCTACTCCATACTGGACGTCAGGGATGTTCAGGGCTACAGGTCAGACATGTTCACAACATGCATACTGTGAAATAAGGGTTTGTTCACCCATACGACAGAAAAGATGATATATAGCACTCTATTTTGTAGGGGTGTAAGTTAACTGTACACATATTCACACTAAAAATTTTCAGTATGGGTCTTTTTGGTTCAGTAAGCAGTGTTGTTTTAACCACTGTATATGCAGAAGTTAATTTGAATCTCCTCATTTCAATGAAACAATATCAATTCTTAAATCAAAAGATTGATTATTTAGTCTGTGCTGTTTCAGTGAATAAAACTTTATTAGACATTATATAGCGCACCTCCCGTCCTATAATCGCAATAAGCTTTGCGTTTAGTTAATTTCGATAAGAAACAAAATCTCATCTTTCACATTCTGTCAGTTTTATTGAAATTTGAAATTCAAGCTATAAATGGCATTTTGTTGCTCTTTGATGTGTCGTGAAAGATCGCTGTATAATCGCGATCATCCCTTTCTTTTACTACTAGTTAGAGCACGAAATAAACATGAATAAGACATGAAATAAGTCACTCATTTAGTGTTTCAACTGCAGAAACTCCTCAATAAATCAGCTTGTAAAAAAAAATAGCATTACATTTACCTCAGGGAAGTCATCAGTGTCCACAACTCATTTGTTCGCTAAAATAATGAAGTCTAGGGAAGAGCGTTTCGCTAAATATAGGCACTGTATTAGCCTATATATTAATTATATTTACTTAACCTGTTAGTGATGTCTTAATTACTTAACGTATGTTTAAATAAATCTGTCATGAAAAAGTTATGATTATGAACAAATTGGAGAAACAAATTTATAATTAGATTTAAGTTAATGTAAAAACTGCCTTATGTATAATTTACATTTGTATACAATTTTTTATTTCAGTTTTGATTATTATATTTAAAAATAAATAGCAATTGAATTTAATACTTTGGTTTGTTTTGTTAATCTTTAAAATCTAGTAATATGCAATTAATACTTTACAGCATTAGCTGTAGAGATTTATTTTTTTATTTTAATTGAATTTATTTAAAGACAGAGCCACAATTTGTACAGTAATCCACTGTTTAATGAAAGAGTAAGTTTATTTGCTGTTCCTGAAAGCATATACCGAACCATGACTTCAAAACCAAACTGTCATTTTTGTGTACCGTTACACACCTACTGCTTTGCATATAATGAAAATAATTCATGAAGTTATGCAAAGAACAAAAAAGTAGTCCATATAGGTTTTCTGAGGTCATGCAGTAGCATGCATGAGGAAGTGAGTTGTTTTTATATCGTGAGCCACGCGTGCACTCATTGTGACAGAACAATAAAAGTGCCGCTCCCGTGTCAGTAAAGCAGGACAGAGCTGTAAATCTGGAGCGCTTCTCGTTTTGTGTTCAGGCTGTTGCGTTTGAGGAACCCCTGGGGCCGGTTCTCCTGGAACGGCTCGTGGTCAGACGAGTGGGCCGACTGGCCGCAGCACCTGCGTCACGAGCTCATGGCTCACGGCAGCAGTGAAGGCGTCTTCTGGATAGAATACGGAGACTTCATTAAGTGAGTCATTAAGTGCTTCATCTGTGTTACATTGACCTTTAATCTGAGATGAGCTTCATCAGAGCTTTCCATAAACAAAGAGCACCTCATAAGTGGTCAGAAGTGGTTCAGAAGTGATGTGAATGTGCCAGAGGTGGATGGCCTGTGTATTTGTATTGTATTATATTATATTATGTTTGTTTTTTTCTCTGAAAATTTTGTTTAAAAATATTTTTAAATTCATTCAATTTTAAATTCATTTTAAATTATATAAACATACATTATTTAATGATGACAAGAGTATCTACTTAAATTTGAAAAATGTGAGGTAAATATGCTGTATATTATTTGTATTTTATTATGTAACTTATTCGATTTCTATTTTTTTTAATTATATACATATGAGCAAATGAGATGAACTTGGGGGAAAAAAACAAGACATTTTACACCTTATTTATTTATTTTAAATGATTAAAATCTACATTAATAAAAAAACATATTTTATGCTATTTTTATATAAAAAAAGTAAAAAATATTGCTTGAAAATATGCTTTTTGAAAACAAAAAATATGCGTTAGAAAAATTTATATTTAAGAAAATTCTATTTAAATTAATAAATGTTATTTAATATAAACATCATTTAATGATGACATGAGACCTGCTTTAAATTTGAAAGACTTTTTACGTGATATTTAGGCTATTGAAAATATTATGTTAACATTTTAATTGTACATATTATTTAATGGTGGCAAATGAGATCTACAAGCATTTGAAAACGAAAAAAGAGACTTATTTTACATCGTATTTATTACAAATGTTAAAAATATATTAATTTTATGTTAAATACATATTTAATAAATACAAACAATATCTACATAAATGTAAAAAATAATGACTTATTTTACGCCATATTTGTTACAGATATTATATTACAATTCAGTTACTTTAATATGATATACATTTTTAATATTTAATATTGTTTTCAAATTTATGTAGATTTCATATGCTATAATTAAAGACATTTAACACAATTCTTATAAAAAATATTAAGATATGTATAATGTTGGCAAAGGAGATCAAATTATTTACATATTTATTAGATTTTAAATAATTATTTTAACAATTGTTAAATTTTATATAAATTTTATACATGTTCTTTAATGATTGTAAATGAGATGGACAAAATAATTATATTTGTGTAAACATTATTTTAATTCCAATCAGGTATTGTTATCAGCTGATGCACTAATTGGCCAAAATACACAATCATCCACCAGACCAGCATATCAGTCTATCATTAGATCTAGTTAAATAACTAGAGCACAAAAACCCTGTTATTTAATTTGTGGTGATTGTATCTTATGTGTGCAGGTACTTTGATTCGGTGGATATCTGCAAGATTCATCCTGATTGGCAGGAAGTTCGTCTGCAGGGCTGCTTCCCCTGCCGGGCGAGTAAACCGGTGACTGTAACCGCCCTCACGGTCCTGGAGAGAACCGCGCTGGAGTTCGCCCTCTTCCAGGAGGGCAGCAGGTAAATAACAGCCAAATGAATAAAGAATGAGACATGAAATATTAATCATGAAACAACAACAACATAAGTTCTGTGTCACTCCTCCAGGCGTTCGGACACGGCCGACAGTCACCTGTTGGATCTGTGCATCATGGTCTTCCGGGCCTCGTTCGGGAACGGGAATAAGCTGGTCCTGGGACGTCTGCTGGCGCACAGCAAGCGCGCGGTGAAGAAGTTCGTAGGATGTGACGTGATGCTGGAGCCAGGAGAGTACGCGGTCGTCTGCTGTGCCTTTAATCACTGGCAGATGGACCTGACGGGCGCTTTGACACCAGGTACACAAACACACACACGCTTAATTACAACAAACACTCTGGAATCATTAAGCAGGAATCATTTTAGATGAGATTAAAGGGTTAGTTCACCCAAAAATGAAAAGTCTGTCATTAACAGAAACGTAGCAAGGACATCAGTGGCTCATCAGTGGTTTTACGAGAATACTTTGTGTGCAAAGAAAACAAAAATAACAATTTATTGAACAATTGTTCTCCTAGAGTTACCGTCTTCCGCCATTATCGAGAGTACCACAATGCATCCGCGCACTTTCCTCTGAACGTAATCAGCGTTGTTTATGTTCATTGGATTACGTTCAGGGGAAACGTGCGCATGCGTCTTGATACTCTCGATAATGGCGGAAGACGGTGTTGCGGGGGAGAAGAATTGTTAAATAAAGTCGTTTTTTTTTTTCTTTGCGCTCAAAAAATATTCTCATAGCTTCGCAAAATTGAAGTTGGACTGTTTGGACATGGACTGTTTTACCGATCTCCTTGCTACGTTTCTGGACCTGGGAACATTTCAGTTGTGTTGCTGTCTATGGAGGGTCAGAGAGCTCTCCGATTTCATCAAAAAATATCTTAATTTGTGTTCCGAAGATGAACGAAGGTCTTACGGGTTTGGAACGACATGAGGGTAATTAATGACAGACTTTTCATTTTTGGGTGAACTATCCCTTTAAGAAAGCATGCGAGTGTTTTTACAGTGTCCAGCCCCACCAACGATCGCAGACCCAGTCAGGATTTCCCAGGGTACATCTTGGCCATCTACAGCTCCAGACAGGTGATGGTGGAGCAGGTGGAGGCCACACACACCACACTCGCCGACGCCATCATCCTGCTGACGGAGAACAAGGGAGAGAGACATGAGGTAAGGAGAACTTTCACTATCGTTTCTCCAGTGCATGAAGATAAATATGTAAATGGCTAACACTTTAGATTATGGAACACATGTTCACTATTAACTAAGAGTTTCCTTCACCAAACTCCTAATTTGCTGCTTATTAATAATTAGTAAGGCAGTTGTTAAGTTAAGTATTGGGTCGGGTTAAGGGATCTAGAATATGGTCATGCAGAATAAATTGCGGGAGTTAACACTGTACACAATACCCGCAACCTCCAAATTTCAGGCCGTGTAGATAGACAAGCATAGCCTATATACAAATCATTTAGTAAGCAGAAATCCGAAATTTACCTTAACA